GGTCCGCGTGACTATCGTAACCAATGGTTGGATACTCGTGGTGACATTGCTCAGAATCGATGACAATGGCGTCGATGTATACATTCTCTGTCTTCCCTTAGACTAAGAGATTAAAATCGCTTCATATCTTTGTTTCTACGAACTAATTCTTTCTTCCTGTACTATATCCTTATTGCAATCTTTCTTTTATGTAATAACACCTCTGAATTAACTACTTTTATGAATCCGGTGTTCATCTTGTTGTGTTAATGAGGTGTGGGAACTTGTACCGATGCATATATGTACGTGGTCCTACGTTGTAGCTGACTGACTGAACATGTCCCAGCCATCTCAACTGATCAAGTTTCACTACTTCATCAGTTGATTTGCGTGTCGATGCAACCCAATCCTGAAGCAACATTTTCCGTTTCGAGGGAGACAATAGCATGTCGAACATGCTTGCAATGTTGCTTATAGTGGTCAGAAAACTGTATTTTGTGAGCGTTTTCACCAAATAGAACTATGTCATCGGCATATTCTAGGTCAAAAAGTGAATCTCCTAGTAGAAGTTCAACCCCTGAAAATTTAGGTGAGGAAAGTGTTGTGTCTAAAAGCACGTCAACGAAAAAATTAAACAAGAATGGAAAGATTGGACAGCCCTGACGAACAGCACTTGAGGTAATCAATTCTAGTGACAGTTCACCATAAGCTCTCACTCAACTAGTTGTGTTCGAGTAGAGAGCCTTTACAAGGTTAATGTGCTTCTTTGGTACTTTTTGCAGTGACAAACACTGCCACAGAACCTCACGACCAATAGAGTCGAATGCTGCCTGAGGGTCGAGAAATACTACGATTGTGGGGCGCTGAATGTGTGTCTGTGTTCTAGAACCTGACGTAGTGTGAATATCTGGTCTATAAAAGCACGTTCAGGTCGAAAATCAGCTTGATTTTCTCTAGTCTGTTCATCACGAGCTTTGGTTAGGCGTTGAAGTATTATTGAAGCTAATATTTTAGACACTATATTAGTCAAACTGATTCAACTTCTTAAAGAGTCGGAGGACCTACATTAACTTGCCATTCAGGTTGACTAAAGATCGTGGGAAAGCGAAGTGTGCCTGAAGGCCAGTTGAACTGATCCCTAAAGTATTCTGCCCATCGATCCAATCTCCTGGATTGAGAATGTATAATATGTCCATCTTTCTCTGAGATTGTTTCGCTAACGGTCAGGTTCCTAATACCGGTTTCCTTAACAAGTCTGAACAATAGTCTGTTATTACCTAATGCCGCTGCCTTTTTCATCTTCCTTGCTTTCGCTACCCACTACTGTTCACGATCATTGCGTAGGCTTCTTGTCAGCTTGCGCTTAAGCTGACTCCGCACTTCGTTATGTTACAACCGTTGTGAATGTGGTCTTTTCAATGGTTAGTGAATAAAGCAGTTTTCTACTGTCTTGCTTCTATCTTTTGTTAGTATAGGAGTCTCGTGCCATCGATTATTCCACAGTCACGATAAACAGTCGTATCAGTAGCTGGTCGTTGTTTACCTAGTCGTTTACAGTCGCGGTATCAAAATGGTTACATCTACTTGCCTACTTATACCTGTAACTCTTTGTGGAGGAACATAGGCCGCCCAATAGCACTATTAATCCAACCCTGTTCTAAGCAATCCGTTCTAGTTGTTTTCAGATGCTGTTCATTCTTTTGATCTCTGCCTTCGTTTCCCGGCACAATGTGTTCCTTGATCTTCCACTTTTCCTTTCACCTTCAGGATTCCAAGTTAGCGCTTACCTCGTAATGCAGTCTGATGATTTCCTCAACGTATGTCCTATCCAACTGCAACATCTTTTTCTAGTTTCCCCTTCACTTGGAAGCTGGTTTATTCTCTCCCACAGAGGGTTGTTGCTGATGGTATCTGGTCAACGGACATTGAGTACCTTACGTAGAAAACTGTTTATAAATACTTATACGTTTTTGATGATGGTTGTAGTAGTTCTCCGAGTTTCAGCTCCGTACAGTAGGACTGTCTTGACGTTCGTATTGGAGATTGTGACTTTAATGTTGGTTGACAGTTGTATTGAGTTTCATATGCTCTTCAGTTGTAGGAATGCTGTCTTCGTTTTGCCAATCCTCCTTGTTGATCGATGATGCTGTTTAGGTACGTGAAAGTCTCCACCTCTTCTAGTGCTTCTCCATCAAGTGTGACTGGGTTGGTGTTCTCCGTGTTGAATTTCGGGATCTTGCTTTTTCCCTTGTGTATGTTGAAGCCTATTGCTGTAGAGGCTGTTACTACACTGGTTGTCTTCACCTAAATTTGTTAGTGTATGGGATAAAAGAAGAGCTAGGTCATTTACAAGGTCCAAATCGTCCTGTTGCTTCCAAGTTGTCCATTGTATTCCGTGCTTCCCTGAGATATGGAGGTTTTCATAATCCAGTCAACCACTTGAAGAAAGAGGAAAGGCGAGAGTTAACAGCCTTGTCTGACACCGGTCCTCACTTGGAATGCATCTGTCAGCTGTCTTGCATGCACAACTTTACAGTGTACTTCGTCGTATGATGTTGAAGATCTGCTCGGCTACTCACTCCACAGTGTCGAAGAAGGTTCTTCTATTCACATTGTCAAACGCTTTCTCATAGTCAAGGAAGTTGATGTATAGTGACGAGTTCCAATCAACTTATTGTTTAATAATGATCCGTAGTGTGGTGATTTAGTCTGTGCACGACCGATCCTTACGAAATCCGGTCTGTTGATCTTGAAGTTGGGCGTCTACTGAATTTTCCATTCGGCTCAACAACAATTCGTTGAAAACGTTTCCTGGCACTGATGGTAGTGTGATGCCACTGTAGTTTTCACACTTGCTCAGATCTATTCTCATTGCTATCCTGATGATTTATTCACGTTTACAGTCTGTTTTTGCTTGTTCTTCATTCGTAATCTTTCTGAAGAGAACATGTTCGCATTTATCTCTATACCGGATTTGTTTGAAACAACCTGTTGTAATCTATTCCACTATGATTTTTAAATGCATTAGTCTTTTAACCTACTACTTCCAGCTAGACATATTTGTCATATACATTTTCATTATGCCTATAAGACTACCTGCGGATTAACTGGAATGCCATCACCGGACCTGTCAGTGACTTGCTTTATACCGTGATGACAGTGTATATATATATTTGATATAAATTTATTAAACAGCTACATCTTATGCTATAAAAGAAGAATAGTGAGACAAACGACAAAATGAAGGACAGAAAGTTGAATAATGAGGAATTATATAACCCTAGAAGTTAGTCTAAATACACTAAATTTTATGTGATTTAATTACACTTATTAACTGACGGATTCGAATAGATGAGGCTGAGCAATATATAACACTAAGTAATCACTAACAGTGTATAAACATGAACTTATTATTAGATTTAATATATCATTGAGAAAGATCACTTCATAAATTACTCCCGCTTCAATCAGTTAGGTATTTGGTCACTAAATTCCCTTCCATCATAATGTGTTGGATCCTTTTGTAGACTTCGTTCTATTACTGATTCCAAACAGAACACCCTCGCATGAACTGAAATTTTCATGTATAAGAAGCTTTCTCTCTGAGCCGCATGTGATTTTAAGTCAGTATTATGTGAGTCTATGATTAGGACAGCTTTTATTTTTGCGTATTTTCCATGATCACTTGCTAGTACTCTGCTATGAAGTTTTTGTTCTGAGTCACTTAGTTTGTACTTAGCTTTTCCATAGCTCTAAGTTGGCTACAGATTAGGTTTACGGTGGTGCGATATATAAACCCTTCGGAATGAACTTTTGGCTGGTGGGTGAGATTTTGAAAATAAAAAATCTTGATTCACGACGTCTCCTTACTCGACACAGATATCTTCTGGATTTTGGAGGTCACAGTATTTCTACGGAAACTTAGTACCACAGTAAATTAAAAGAAGTTAATAGACTTCTATTCTTACAAAATAATTAGAAATCTGTCTCAGAGCTTTGCAGTGCAACTATTCTCGTTTCGTATTCAATCTCTCTGTTTTAACAAATCAAAGGACCAGAAGCTGAATGGTAATTGCTCGTATTTCTTGTAGCAATGTAATCCCATTACAATTATGGAAAACACTTACTTTGAAGTCAGTTCAAAATTATCACTGCTTCAGTCCAACCTGTTACCCACTCATTCCCATTATACCCTGAAATTCGTTTATTACTAGTGTACTATTCAAATAGTTTAAATGTGCGTTTGATGGCATTATTGTCCAAACTCTCATTCAATCAATTCATTATCGAGCAACGGGAACAAAAATTAGGGCACCGTACAGGTTTATTATTAAAACAGATTTAAAAAATACGAAGAATATCATCTCTGGCATTCGCCGTACTGAACATTCTGACCAAAATACTGTTTTGACGTAGCGATCACATAATTCTTTCTCAGAAGAAGAGAGTCAGTCAGTCGAACAACGTAAAATCCAGCACCTCCGTACATCTGTTCAAATTAACATGTCTAATTAGCATGACAGAATGGGATTGTTTGGTCGAATAGAGGGCATGACAGGATTGGTCGTAATAGATGAGATTAGATATCGAGGGTACGATTCAATAAAATGTAAATTCGTGGGGTAGAAATATTGTCTATGGTAGCAGTCAGTTCGTACTTTGTTTACAAATATTAACAGATCTCAGATTAAACCACAAATTGGTGGAGAAATATCGTTTTGATAAACGTGAATACATATCTCATGAATTTCGATGTACAGATACATCTTCCATCATTCCTTCTAATCATCTCCAACAATACCATCAATACACCCTAAACACCCCCTTATATATTCAGTCCGTCAAGTATGACCCTTACATCAAAATATTGTATTCGTCAACTATCGAGTTTCAAAAAACACAGGGAATATGTTACTGTTTACAAATGACGTACTAAACGTCAGTTAACTCTGTAGTACACATGTATATACATTTTATTACACGGTGTTTGGAGGCTTGAACATAAAGAATTTCCAACTTACTCTAGAGCATTATCCGGTTTTTCTGGCTCTTCATACAAACCTACAAGTACTGTACAGTGGAAATATTTAATTTGAAAATTTTACCCTTTGTGAGTGCATCGATCACTCCAGATTTTTCCAAATACTTCCTGAACTCTTCTCGCTTACAATTTCCAGGCTAAATATCAAATGCATCTATATTTTTGTAATACCTTGTAAGAAGACATATTGGTTTCAAAGCAATGACGCTACAACAACATGGCAACGGTGTAAGTATTCAACGTTTAAAACAATCTATTGACGTGAGGTCTGGAATAGTTAGGTCGTGGATATTAGGATAGTTAAAAGTAACGTGTGTTAACTAATTTTTGCGAACCTGAAGCTCATAAACCTTGATTTTTGAAGTTTTCTCCATTCACTTATACACATATATAAATGGTTCAAATGGTTGTGGACGGAATAGAAGAAGCTTTCGCTTAACAGGCTTCCGTGTCTAGTAGCAGGGGATCACCAAATCCTCCAGGCAGGAACCTTAGTATGTCAACAGGAAAACAGGAAAAGAAATTGGTAAATCATAATGTGATGCTGTCCTTGGTCCTTAAGAATAGGTCAAGTTGCCTCTTGAAGGACTCCTGAGAAGTCGCTTGGACTAGCTCGGCCGGCAGCGAATTCCAGCTTTTGACAACTCTTAAGGAGTAGAAGTTGTGTCTACAGTTCGTTCTGCTATGTTGTGTCACCAATTTATGGGTGTTACCCCTTGGGTCAGTATTGAGACTAAGCTTACGTAGGTGTTTGAAAGGATGCCCAGAAGTGTTGAGGGTACTGTAAGCCATCAGAGTGTCATCTCTAAGACGCCTATACTCTAATGTGTAAAGGTTAAGTGACTGGAGGCACTCTTCATAAGGTCTAAATTTGAGTCCTCGAAGTGATTTCGTGGCTCGCCGTTGGAAACGATCCACAGTGGCCTTAGCCTTTTGGAGTGAGGGGGGAAATACTATGTTTCTGTACTCTAAATGGGGACGAATAAAACTTTTGAAGATTATGTGGAAAGTTCTTTCGTCAAACTGGCCAAAAATGCGCTTCAATGTTACCGGTGCAAGGTTTGCCCGGAAGGCATTTTTGTCACAGTTAGCATAAGACTTTAAATCGTAGGGCACCAAGACTCCTAAATCTTTTTGGACTTGAGATACTACTAGAGAGGAGGTACCTAAGTTATAACTGTAGTCTGCGACATGTCGTAGATGGACTACTTTACACTTTGAAGTGTTAAAGGTTACTCCGTCATCGTCTGCCCAACTTTGAAGTCGAGTCAGATCCTCCTGAAGTGCCTGTATATCGTCTTGGTTGCGTATCTCTCTCCAAAGTTTCACGTTGTCGGCAAAAAGTAATAAGTCTGATGTTACCTGTTGAGGAAGATCATTTATGTAGATCAAGAAGAGAAGAGGTCCTAGTACTGAGCCCTGGGGGACCCCACTAGGACATTCCATAGCCTGAGATAAAGTGAAATTAACCCTAACCTTAAAGTGTCGATTTTTTAGGTATGAAGTAAGCCAATCGATTAGAGGTGGTTTGATACCTAGTCGTTTGAGCTTGTTGATAAGACACAAGTGGTTAACCTTATCAAAAGCTTTTGAGAAATCAAGGTAAATGACGTCAACCTTTCCCTTGCAATCGAGGATGCTTGTCCATTTGTCCACCGCAGTCTGCAGATTGGTTATACAAGAGTAACCCTTCCTGAAACCATATTGTTGTGGTGAGAAGAAATTTAAGGACAGTAAGTAGTCATTTATACCACCACATATCAGGGACTCCATGAGTTTTGAAGGTAATGACAGAAGAGCCACCGGCCGATAACTTGAAGGTTCATTGCGTTGGCCACCTTTGAAAATTGGTGTGATGTGAGCCAACTTCCAGTTTTCCGGGAATTTGCCTCGGCTAAGCGAGTGTGAAAACATCACGCTAAGCGGCGTTGCCAGGATTGAGGCTGCCTCCCTCAGTATGGAAGGATGAACGATATCCCGGCCAGGAAAAGTGTCAAGTCTCAAGTGCAGCAATTTCCGGAACACCAAGTCAGCGCTTAGGTCCACTTCAGAAAGTCCTGTGGAGTTGGAGATGAAACTGTCGTCAATAAAGTTGATGTCAGCCGGTTGAAATGTTGGAGAATAATGGGCCGCCAGAAGGTTAGCGGCGTCGCCATCGTTGTTGGTCGGGCCGTTAAGACCTAGCAGTTGAAAAACTCCTGTTTTGGCTTGACGAAGAGAGGCTGCATAACGGAATAGGCTTCTAGGGTTAGAGGCGAATTTGTCCATAAGCTTTGTTTGGTACTGAAGCCTGTCTTCTCTTATAGCCTTCGTGCATGTGTTCCTGATATGTTTGTATTGCCTATACGCTCCATCGTTATAAGTTCGTTTGTATTCCGCCCAACAGTGCCGTTTGCGGCTTAGGAGGCTAAGGGTACGGTTCTTGATTACTGTAGGTGGCTTGAAGCTTTTGGGAACCGTTTGAGGAACTGAATGGTCTGTAGCACATAAGAGCGTGTGCAGTAAGAAGTCCTAATGACCATTCACATCGATTTGAGGGTGAACATCCCAAGCCACCTGTTGTAGATGGTCATGTAGAGCTGGCACATTCAGCCGTTTAAAATTCCAACGCAAATTATTGTTGGGATACCTTAGCTTAGTTTTGATGACAAAACTGAAGGCTATGACGGCATGATCGCTTTTTCCCAGAGGAGCCAGGATTGAGAGGTTGTCGACTAGGAATTCTTCGTTAGTGAATACACAGTCTAAGCGCGATGGTGTCTGACTGTTTCTCCAACGAATTGCCGACCTCACATTTTCATATAAGCCCAAGTTATCGATGAGGTTGAAGAACCGAGCTTCAGTTGAGTCGTCGCCTCCAGTGTACGTGTGTTCCGCGAAGTTGACTCTAGGGAGATTAAAGTCCCCTAGAATCAGGATGTGTGTGAAACCGAGACGGATAGAGAGGGATAGTCCTTCCAGCATACGACTATCGTACTCGGTGTCGGCAGTTAGCTTCCTGTAAATGACTCCCACCAGACACCTGGAAGTACTAGACAATCTTACAGAGCACCATATGGATTCCTCAAGATTGTTAAACTCGAGGTTGTGAACCTGGTGCACCTCCAAGCAAGAGCTTATGTATATGACTACTCCGCCCCCAATTCATGTTTTTCTGTCGTTGCGGAACAAAGTCATCCCAGGCAATGCTAACTCTTGGTCCGAGAACTGAGAAGATATCCAGGTTTCAGATATTCCTATCAGATGTGCCTTATTAGCGTTGCTAAGTTCACGTAGTTCATCCAATTTGTTTGGTAGACTCGCGGCGTTCATATATAAGCAGTTTATGCTTTCAATTTGGAACGCGTGAGCTTCGACCTGTTTTTCTGTATGAACCTTATGTGAATGGACAGGTAGCCCACCTATGTGAAGTTTGCCGAGGTGGTAGGCCCTGTCCTTTACACGTTTTTTTATCGTTTAGACAGTCCACAAGTGGAATGGTCAGCTCCAACTTGCCTTTGTTCTTGGTCCTAACTTCGTATGGCCTATCCGGGTGCATGTGGATTCCAGGTGGCAATCGACGTCTATTAGCACGAAATGCTTCCAGAACTGCAGCCGCGATGTGAGAAGATGGGAAGATTATCTTCATTAGACGGGGTCTAAGATCGCCGTCCTTCTTGGCTAGTCTCGTCACATGCTGAGTCAGTATTTGTTTGAGCCTCAAGGACTGTTTGATGAATTTCCATTCCCTGATGTCAGAATTTGATTGAGTAGTGTCTGCATTTTCCGGTATACCTTGGACAATTATGTTTCTTTCACGGAAAAACTTCTCGCGAGATTCTTTAGGGACGTTTCGTATGATATTGCGCCCAGAGTACGGTATGTCGAGCAATATTCTTACGTTACCATCTGATTTCAGCAAGTGGCTTGCTAGCAAGACGTCCTCTACGTTGGTAGCATCCTTAAGTGTTATTCGGAGAAGCCTCGGGTGATTTAAATGCTTAAAATTCTTTTCCTCGAGTGAGCCGGGTGACCGTTAAAGGCTCTATTCTAGGAAGTTCGAGCTTCTTGTTCAATTCACCCCAGAGCATCCTGTCGTTTTTGTCCTGCAGACTGAGAGGAAGATCAGGATTGTCAACGAGGTTCATGATAATGAGAGAATCGTCACGAACTGTTGTTAATTTACCAGGTTTCACGATGGGTTCAGGTTTAATAACTTGTTGTTTGGAGGTCAGTGTGCGTTTATGAATCATGGGCTCTTTATTGACCGGACGAACAGTCTTGGGGGTAGACTGTGCGACTAAATCACCAGTTATTTTCCGTGCAGCAACACTTGGGTTGCTTGGCTTAGGCGGTGATGCCTGGTTCTTTTAGGCTCTCTTAACGTGGGTCGAATCACCTGCAGGGTTTTTGGCAACCACTGTTGTGTTCGGGGACCCTGAGCTGGGAGACCCGAGTTTGCCTAGGGAGTTCAGTACCGTCGACGTAATGATGGTACTGAGCCTCGACACGTCGTCGTTAGTGTTGATGGATGCCCCATCGATGGAATACCTATCGACATCCCTGTTTTTGAGTCCGTTGCACGCTCTTGTTTGTATATCAGTTTTTTTACAATCGTTTTCCAAGTTAACTGACAACTTGTTCCGAAGACCTGTCAGTAGGACAATGATGTTACTCAGCAAGACTACGGAGTCTGTGTTGCACGTGACACACACCCACTTTTGCTCTGACTTGCTGAGTCTGTTTAAGCAGTTGCTGTCAGATCTGTGCATGCTTCGTGGAACCAACCTTTGCAGTTGTCGCACTGCATGCCAGTTGTGACAGCAAAACGGCATCCCGGACGTTTGCATGAGTTTTTCATGACGGTGTTGAAGCAAATTATGTTATAGATGCTTGCAAGAGCCTAAGACCTTTTTTAAAAAACACTAAAAAGCACACTGAAAACGGACAAAAATTGACAAAACGAGTGATATAAACTGAAACTAGTCTATACGTGAAAAACAAAAAAAACCGAATAGTAAGCTGAGGCAAAACCACAGGTAACTATTAAATATAGTGAAACTCAAAAAAAGTAATCTACCGATCGTATAGCTCAGGATAGATTCTTTAGAACTGAAATGGTACTTTTGTTGCGTAAGAACACAGCAAAAGTTTGGTAAATGCAAATCACGTTAGGACTAAACTTCCCGTTCGTGCTTCTCTTCTAGCTGTGTTAGCGAGTTTTAGTCAAGTTCGCCTTTTTCCTAGTCTATTCCCATAGCTTTTATTCACTTTTAATTCAACGTCCTCCTAGTGCTTAGATAATAAATTCTTATCGATATGTATACTGGAAAATTTAATACCATTTCCCTTACTAGAACAAGTAGAAAACCATTTAAGATCTTTAAGTTAATTTTCGTATGAGAACGACCCCCAATTACTTAGACACAGATATTTCACAATGAAGTTTGAGAAAGAAACCTCATCTAATTTATTACCATTCACTCAGACAACGATCTAACCTTATAAAGCGAAATCTTCAAAATAAAATGGATAATGTAGGCTGAGAGATTTCTAAGAACGTATAAGAGTTAATAGCTATGTGTTCGCGGATTTTATTTATTGATAACACTGTAGCCTTTCGGATTGTCCGAGTATGTGAAAATGCTATTTGGATTAAAAAACCCAGCAAAGTCTTAGAGATATCTTGCTTTTAGAAATGCTTTTTGCCTATGTATGCATCGATAACTCACTGTCTGTTTCTCATTTTTACATTTGAATAAACAGAACTTCCATGTCGTGTGGTATACGTATTAGTTATTTTGGGATTACGGGAGGCTGTTAAAATTTATACATCCCTCGGAAGCTAGACTAGTTTTTTACATAACGTTAATATTTTCAGACGATTTCATTGCAGCTTGTGTAAAAATCAGGAAGGTTGGTCTAAGAAAACAACTGCAGAGACTACAATACCGAATTCAAAGGCCTAAAACTAACACCTCTGTGGAAATTCGTGGTCTGTACGTATACCTAAATATCCAAACACTTGTACGCACTTCTTGAAAAATGCTACATGGTCAAGACGCACCTGAGTCCTTAGTTTGAAGGACCGTTAAAGTTAGTCGCCAGGAAACCTAAATAATTTCTTGTACTAGCACACTGATGGTCAAATGCATCAGGCGTGTGTAGGCATAAACTACGTCTTCCGGATAATGGACCTTCCAACATGATCGCGATGCAAATGGAGCTAGGATAGATAGGTTACGATTACAACTGGTTGCAGAAAAAAGCTTATACCGAGCCTCAGTTTAACCCTTGAAAATACAGCCCGTCTATTCTTCAGTCTCGTTAATTTGAAAAATGTTTTTCGATGAAGTTCATTTAAGGTAGTTTCTAGTCTTTGCAATTTGGTAGACAAAATATAGGGCCAAACGGTTCAAAGGTAGTCTTTGCAATCGTACTATTGTTTAAGTTTTGTCATGCACAATGGTGGACAACTTGATACACACAGAGTTCACTGAGATTTGATACCAATGATTTTCTCTGACTAAACGTACCTTTATATCTGATTTTCTGATTTTTCAATGACTAATAATCAGAGAAAACTATATGTTAGAGCAAGTTTTATAAACTGAGTTACCGGCCTGGCATGTTTTCAATAAATCGTGTCATTGTCACAACCGCATATTTAGCCGTAGACTGAATCCACTGGGAAGCGGACCAACAGTTAGGTTCCCTCTCCTCGATTAACTGTTTGCTGTGAAGTTATATACAACGTGGTGTTTATAACTGTAATATAAATTGTAATCCATTTTCCACGTGAATTTGAGAAAAAATGCTAACACACTATAATATACGGAGTGATGTCATTCTGATCAAATTGTTAGTCCACAATGCTCAGGTTATTTGATTGGCTCTTAGAAGTCTGATTATTTATATAGTATAGGTTCTGGTATTGTCAGAGAAGAAACATGAGAAAACGAAAGACATCACGCCGCCAAATAGTGTTCCCACTTACCAGTTACTTTTACTAAATACGATCCCGAAAGAATATATTCTCATATCCTAAGCAAAGTGTCCCCACTTCCATTGCTTAAGGTTTATGCGGATACTTCAATTCTATAGTAACGGAAGCTTTACAGTCTAAAATGCAGAAATCATCTGAAATGATTTACAGACTGAGAATTTTTAGCATAGACTGAGATTATCATTAACCCTTAAAATTAGTATACGGCATGAATACCAGCTACTCTCGGATATTAACGGCATAATTGCATTTCGGATGACAAATCTATTATTATGACAATACTCTTCCAGTTCTCTTTCCTGTCACGAAATATATATTACTTCGGTTCATGTACCACAACCTAATAATATCATTGTAAATACATACCTGTGGAGAGTTTCCATAGTCTTAAAGATGTTTCGAGTTTTCCTAGCTTAAAAACGCCTTTACATGTAACACATCCTCAGTCTAATAATGTCAGCGTAATCGAATCAAAAGTGAAAGATGAAGAGGTTTGAAAATACAGCTGGAAAGCTGTCGACATATCGGGAAGCGTTTATTCTAAGCTAGATTACAGTAATAAGAGATGCGTGGCACAGCATACCTATTCGTGAGCTGGTGCGTATGAGTGACTAAGTACCTTAAGCTAGTAATGCCGCCAGCGTCAAGTGTTGAAGACTTAAAAAACTGGGAATATTTCCATACTACATTCTTTTCGTCTGGCGTGGTGATCTTCATGTCAGTTCACTCCTTAATGTTTTGCACCATCTACTGATGGTGAATGTGGCGGTACTGTCACTAAATATACTTACATTCCAAGAAAAAATTTCAGGTCTATGGACCAAGAACTGTCACTAAGCTACCAAAAAGTATATTGTAAAAATGTCCGATGATTTCACAACATATTCTTTTCGTCCCAATTAGCACGAGATATTGATTATTAATTCATAAATTAAGAAATAAAAGGTCACATAATCTAAAATTCTAATATATTCTTTTAAAGTTCTCAATCCTGAGGTTTACGTTTACGCTCAAACGTGCGCGAAAACACTACAGACACTTATTTACGTCTAGCTTTATATACTGCTCAACTTTCGATATGTTTCTTTTGATTATGAGTTGCTGTGAACGAGATTTGACTGTCCTTTTCTTGTGTATCGAAAATAATGTGTAGTATAGAGTCGCGGTTGACTATGATCACCACTACAGGAAGACTACGTGCCAGTTAATCGATAAGACCCCCGTAAACCAAATATCAGAAGGCAGTTGATGGTTGTAGTCAAGATGTATTCGTTGGCGACCTCGCGGTATCGAAAAAATGCCGACATCGTGCTAGGTTACAAGTGCGGTTACTGGGTGTAACCAAATTCGTGCAAGGTCACAATCAACTTAAGAATGTATGCATTTTGGTACAGTTAAATAAACAGGTACAGTAAAACAATCCGTGGTACATTTGGTTATAATAATAATTGCTTCTATTACACCAATCGCGTTCTCTCGATAAAAGTAGGTCACTACAAACGTTAGACGATTTTGAATACAGTTAACGTTACGAAATCTTGGTGGTTGATAGCTCATCATCCCAGTACTCTAACCTCAACATTTTCAAACTATGGCTCTTAATCCGAACATCTTGACGCTTACGTCTAAACATATAACAGATTTTTCACAAAAATATTACTGTGTAGTCCGTTTGGAATGTGAAATGTAATTCATATCATCATTTTCAGTAAGAGGCTGTCCTCAGTAGCGCCTTAATGTCACGATAGTATTTGAGATAAGACTATAATTTATGAGCAGATCATTGAAATTAAAGATGACATATTTTGAATTTTCGCGCAAAATCCATTCATATGTCTAAATAGCATCTTTGTATCACATCTGATGTCAGTTAGTAACAGTAACTTTTTTCCTAATCTTTTTTACTTTATTCTCTGATTCGAGATTCCTATCTTAACTTTTGAGACCTATTTACATCCATCTTCTGACTCTATTATTTTGAGTCTTACAAGGGTCATTCTAGCACCGCTCAAAGGTTGTCTCGCTGGTGTTACGTGTTAAACTATCTGGTTTCTGTTTCGATCCAAATAATACCTTTTTATGAGAAACGCGTTATTTCTGATTATCGTCGAATAGTCCGTTATTAAATGTAAGTTCATTGTGTGAGCTTGCTGGGTCATCGACTCTCACTTTCTTTCGTTATTTTTCTACTCCTCGATCAAGGTACTCTTGATGCTACCGTAAAACACAAAGTATTGTTTGAATAGACTCGAACGGCCACACTGCCGATTTTGTATGCTTTTAAACGCAACAACAGTTATTGAAATTACTGATTTAAAACAATTTTGCATTATAGTGCAAGAAATTGATACCTTTTTTTGCGAATTCTTCCCATGGGTATAAATAGTGTTCTAAATTCTTCTTTTAAGTTTTATGAGTTTTGTTAGATCGGATCACAATTAAAAAGCCATAGGTGACGTACATGATTTGAATATATTTGGTAATGGATGTTGGCCAGGACGTTTCTAGTCGCTTCTAAAGAATCCCGCTTTACATAGTGTGCTGTACATATCATCAGGTGATTTATTACTTATAAATAAAACATAGGTGTGAGAAAAGATTGCTCGTCGTGGTTGCATGCGATTATAATAAGTTAAATTAAGTGAAACCATTCTCCCTATTTTGGGGCTTTCCCCAAACTTTGCGAAAATTTTGAGGGTCTTGAGCACAATAGTGCTGATGTTAAATAACTTATTCACATTGCAACTAATAATGCTAGCACCCATATTTGTCCTATTCCTGTCACTATGAATAAAGTTAAGAATCTTAATATATGAGACCGCACAAATCGTGTGGAATTGCACTATCAGCTTTGTCATGACTGCATCGATGCAGACGAATTTCAACCGCCTCACCCGTTTACACATTTTGTTTCAGATATAAACTTACATATTTCAGTTCGATCCGCCCATTCGATCCTATCTAGTCAATGTAGCAATTATCTAGATGTAATTATTCAGTTTCATCCCTCATGTAGGTATTTTGTTTGCACTAATTCCGCGTGAGAAATATAAAAACAGGTGAAAGAGGACTACTGGAATAAAGTATGCTTTAGTCATGAAGAGGTTGAACGAAGTTACTCTCGGTTGTATATAGACAACTGAGGTTTTCCGTGTCTATGTCATGTGTGGATTTCTTGAGATCGACTCAACATTGTGAACACAGTGCCCCATAGACTTCTGCTAGATGTTAGTCATGTAGATTGTATCTGAATATTTGTTTTGTTTTTGCACCTTCGAAGTGCAAAGTACTTCTACAAGACTGGCAGGATTCCAATCCTGTACTCACCCTGGATGGTGAGCAGATAGAAGTAGTCGAGAAGTTCGTGTATCTCGGTAGCTGCATAAGTGCTGGTGGTGGCGTGAGTGATGAGATCAATGCACGTATAGTGAAAGCCAGAGTGGTTTATGCCAATCTGGGCCATCTTTGGCGCCTTCGTGATGTCAGTCTGGCTGCAAAAGGTCGAATCTACAACGCGTTGGTGAGAGCAGTTCTGCTCTATGCTTGTGGAGCCTGGCCTCTTCGAGTTGAGGATGTAAGACGACTCTCTGTATTTGATCATCGTTGTCTCTGGAGGATTGCTGACATCCAGTGGTAGCACCATGTTAGTAATTCAGAGGTTCGGCGTCGTGTGTTCGGGCACAGAGACGATGATGCAATTGGTGTCACCATCTTGAAACACCGACTTCGGTGGCTGGGACATGTTCTACGAATGTCGTCCCAGAGAATTCCACGTCGTGCATTACTTGCCGACTTTGGGACTGGTTGGAAGAAGCGGAGAGGTGGTCAGTGCATGACATGATGTCGTGGCATGAAAGAAAGCTGCAAAGGGCTAGCTGGTGTTGGTCCTTCACGACTCCCTGGCTGTAGTCTAAGAGATGGTGCGACTCAGGGACTAAAGACTTTATCAGATATGGCTCAGAATAGAAGCCAGTGGCGATCCTGCTGTAAATTTCTTTTACTTTCTTCATAAAAAGTGGTTGTATCTTCCTTAACTGAAAGATTTCTTCTGATTGTACCTTTCTGTTCCCTCATTACTACCACACTACCTTACACCAATCTCTTCGTTATTGTTCTCTTTTTTTTGCGCTCCTTAGCTTTTTTTTCTATTTCTCTTCGAATTCATTGTTTTGTGTGGCGCATATATATTGGCGCTCTCTTGTACCAATATTCATGTGTTCAAATAAATATTAATAAAGATCTTTAATTTTTATTACAAAATAACCTGCCTACTTGACCTGGTAGTATCTCAAGAAACAATGTTCCTGCCTTAATACTGTCAGCAGGATAGACCATCAAGTCAAAACTCTAGTTGCGGTCGTAATCTAGACATCGATTCTAAATATTTACTGAAATGCTCTTAGTGCTCAAGAAGCAACATTGGCCTAGAAACGTTAAGCAACTACAGCTGTAAACTAGTGTTGACCACAGTTCAAGAACTCAATTTTATTACTAATTGTTATCAGGAGTTATCTGTAAGAAGTTTGTTGTTGTTCGTATTATTTTTTGTTAGTTAATGGTTTTGAAGTTGCTTAAACGCATGGATTATGTACTTCTGAAACAAGTTAATTAAACTATTTTACTGCTAAATCTGACCTGCGTCCCGTGTTCTTCAGCATAATACTGAAACCACTAGTAAGTAAAACACATGAAGCTTTGTCATTCGTGTCAAAATATGGCAAAGCTTGAGTTTACAGCTTTATCGTGTATATTATAACTTCAAGCCAAATACGGAATTGGACAAAATTGTTAGGCCTACATGTTAGTCTTGTTTTCTGTTTCAATAATGCTACACTTTTCAGTTTGTGAGCAATTCGGATTTTCCAAATATCCAGTAAAATGTATGACAAATTTTTATATCAGTTTACTTCGATGGGGGTTTCTAAGCTGATTTACTTTACTTCTAACGATAGGAAGGCTCTTCAGAAATTTTTGTGTCTAGGTCTTCATGACATCAAGTTTCTGGTTTCGAACATCCGAAGATGCACTTCAAAATCTCTTTCATTTTTTATGCACAGTCGTTTTATTGATGACCTAAACGTCAATGTCGATCCACTGATTCATAGAATTAATTCTGACTTGTTAGTAAAATCGAGTCTAACTTATCCGGATTATTATTATGAATGATGATGTGTTCATGTACTCCTTTGTAAGGCTTTAACAAACTAATAATTTAAAACCGGCTCTGATGTATCTTGACTCAAAAATTCTTGAAAAACGTTTTGGATACATTATACTTCAAGTCAGTTGATAACTATAGGGAATATCATTCACAACAGATTTTAACTCAGACCAAGGACTCGACTGTGTAATTGATCTCTATTTTGTGGTCACTAACATTTTCAATCAAAAAGCAGTTCAGAACGAGTCTCCTAGCAAAACAATTCCATTATTCTAGTATCTTGTTCTCATACTAGTTGTTTTGGTTGCAAGAATGAATCAATTTTACTTTACGTGATTCTTGTACTCCTTTCAGGTAGATTTTCGACAATTATACTTAAAAATAAAGCACTTCTATCAACACTCGAAGCTGTACACACGTTGATCGCCAATGTATGTTATAATTTTGCAGTAACTTTCTGAATAGGCTATCCTTTATTGGTACAGACTGGACATTGTCTCTGTTACATGCTGGTTCTTATCTGAATATTGATGATATTTTGGCATCTAATGAACGCACGTCATGTCGCGTTCGTGTACTACTTCCATCTCTGGCACCACTACTACTTTCAGATGTCAAAGATAAAATGCATGGTGAAGGCACCAATGATGGTTACAAAGCGTCAGATGACGTCCCAGCAGGGAAAAGAATTGAGCTACCAGTTTGGTTAGCTATCGCTATTGGTAGCGGTAGAAGACAAATACTGAGCATCGACATACCTCCAATTTACCGGGTATAGTAGTAATTTTTTGTCTGTAACACTTAGGATGCCTTTACTGAAGTATTCGAAGCAGATCCTTGTGTAGTTGACCTCAAAAGAAAAGGGTCTATGTATTATATGTTATTATGCAACTTATTGATGTCGGGTCATGTTCGAGTCCCACAAATCGTTGCTACTGGCACTAAGGTTTTTCAAGTAAGTCACTTTGTATTTTTAAAATTGTACCTTAATCGAACAAGTGAATGACTGTATAAAAATTAAATTTCGCACCAAAGCTAATAGTTTGACTTCCTTTTCTTCACAGTAGTGAAAAAACGAAACTCAATAAACATGTAGAGATATTAAAGGAAATAAGACATGACTCGAAAAGAGAATAAACAATGAAAAGCAAAAATGGCTTTAAACAATCACTTAGTATTCTGAAGGGAATTGGCAGTTTGTACGTAAGAATACGCATTAACAAAAAATAACTAAAATCTGATTTTTGAGTACATAGTTCGAAAAAGTTTGTGTTCTCTTAGCTAGATGGCCTATTTATGAAATTATTTTGGTTCTGAAAATAAGCATCAAGACCACTAAAAGTATCTACATAAGCTACATCTCTCTATTGCTTACAATTCAGCAAACTCTTTCGCCTTTTTGTTGTTGTGCTAAAAGCAAAATCTAGATTCTCGTTATAAATATGCCTAAATGCTTTTACAGCACATAGTTTTGAATTGTGTATAGTTCTCAATCAATTTTTCAGGTTGTACCGATGATTTCCTATGAAATCTACTAAAACAGATTGGTTTCCAACAATATAGTTTTACATGAATCAGGAACTCTAGATGTCCTTATTGTAGTCGTTTCACTACCTACATTTGCTTCTCGTATGCATTTTTCACTAGTCCTCTTGCTCGTAGTCTTACTCTTTATTAGCTGTTGTGCTTTGGTATAATCCGTATTACTTAGTGCCGTGTAATTATTTAATTTTGATGAAATTTAAAAGTTATGGTTTGTATCTATCTTACATGTTGGTCGCCTTTCCTACATCTACTTGTCCTCACATTTGCTTGATAGAAAAATATATAGAGCTTTACGCAGATAAAACTCTAAACCTTTTTATATAAATGATTTCGAAGCTGTCAGGGTTTTCTAGGTAATTTTAGTGATGAATGGAAAATTATTTCTGTTCAGAAGCAGTTAAAAGAAATTAGGACTGTAATTTTTGAATTTTTATTTAAATTTACCTGGACAAAGATAAAGATAGCCGATTTTTCTTAACAATAATTTAATGTTCCTCACTTTTATTACTGGGCATAAGGGTACCTTTGTGGTTAAAACACTTGACTTTCAGCCGTCCAGTTTTAGGTTAAAGTCCTGTTCTACTTCAATTTTTTGAAGTAGGATTGTGTTACTAGCCCTGACACAATGTGTTCCTAAGTAATATATGATAACCAAGTTATCACTATCACTTTTATAACAGCTACGAGTTTATGTATATTTTTTATCTCAATCATCATTAGTCACGATTAAAGATGATTATGGATGCCTCACTCAATGCTTCTCGACAGGATACTTTGTCATCTACAGCTAAGTAAGTTCTAGTATTTAAAGTATTCTTTAATGTTAAAGATAGCAGAAAATTTCAGCACATATCAAACATCCTAAAATAATTATATGGAATCCATTATACTCTACACTACATAAACGCATGATCAGCAAACATGGTTATAGCCAGAACTATTAACAATTAGTCCTTAATTCGATAAATAATCCAATAAATTTAAAGAATTTGTCGGAATACATGTGCTTTAATAAATACGAAGCATAAATTCGGTGATTAAGACTGCATAAACATTCTTTTGGATCTTTTATCAGAGATACAGAAGACTCCTAAGACTACTGTTACTTATTTTTCAACTGTTCTTGGGTGTCATCTACCCGACTTTATATAAATCACACTACATTTTGTATAGTAGTTTGGTGGTATTCTTAACTAACTTGCTTCTAGAAGGCTCCCTTTATTGTGGATTTACAGAGCAAATCATTAACATATAAGGTTAGGATTGGAAGTCAGTTCATTGTGTAGTCTGACTTCAGTATATAGATAATTTAATACTACTAGGTAACGAATAAACAAATTTGTAGTAAATAAAACCCATTTATCTTTAGAAATATTATTTAGTGTGTGTTTCGAAACTTTCTTCCCATGTACAAGAGGTGCATTGAATTTTTCAGAGCTACGCTACCTGTAACAAACTGTTTATCATTAACAGAGTTCACTGTACGACAGTGTTCCACATTTTTAATTCCACTTATGATATTGTGCAACAATCACTCTGTCATTATTCGCTCCTTTAAATGAAACAGCTATCCTGCACCCATTAATTTTAAGCGGTCCTTTGACCGTCAGTTTTCCGGTTTTAACTAAGTCCAAATTGTGTAAGATCTCTACAAATTGATGTTACTGGTTAATAAACAATTTTATATTTTACTTTCTAAGTCTTCACTTCCCGATGCTTTATACAGATCAGCATTTTTATAAAGATTAGAAATGAGTTAATTTGGTCAAGGTTACCAGGGTTGAAAGAATGAATTTTTTTATAAAGAAAATTGGTTTTAAGATTTTCCATGACCATATTGAAATTAAACGTTTGTTTGTTAGCGTTTTTCTGGATCAAAATAAGTTATCATTGAATTAAATACCTTAATTTACACAACTGGTTGTTACTTCACTATATATTCATTTCATTTTCAATGTAATCATTCGCACACTTTCTTGTTTATCAACTAATCAATTGACAAATTTAGATTCGACTCCTTGGAAATGGCATTATTTCGGATAGGTCAAACAGACAGATTACAATTCGAACGTTGGATTTCACGCCATCATGAAAAGATTGAAGCTTTAAGAAAAGTTCGACCTGTATTTGTGAAATAGAATCAATAGATTAATTTATTATTCAAAACTCATTTCATTCAAAGAAATATTCTTGTAGCTTTTAGTCTTACGATCTTTATATATTCTTATTACGCAATTAATTATGAAACAATTTTTTCGAAATTTATTAAATTTAACTATTTATAAAATAATGTGGATCTTTGTAACTACTATTTTTAATGATTAGTGTACAAAGAAAGCTTACTTTTTTCAAATTTCAGATGGTCGAAAATATTATTCATGATGAGTTATTTTTCTACCATTTATGTCTTATGATAATCTAAATAGTTTCAATCTATCCAGGAATAATTTTGTTCAAAGTCGGTCGCTTGTTTCTATTTTGGATGTAATAACAGCAGTTCAAAGAAATTTCAGACGATGTTTTTAAGTTTATCGAAGCGTTTTATTAGCTTGGATATTCCAAATCTAACCAGGAAATCGCGCGTTTACGTTTGATCGCACATATCAACCGTGGACCAAATTAATTGGATTTGTGGAAAGCTCTTAGGTCTCCTTTCTCTAGATTCCGTACGAAACAGAACTGCTAGTGTTGTGAATTATATTTCTATTTATTTATTTAAAACACATAAACATTGGTACAAGGAGACACCAAATAGATATGCGCCACATAAATTATTCAGTGGTCTTGAGTGCTGTTAGAGGTATGAGGGCGGTTTTCACTTCCCGGTTGCCCACACCGTGGAAGGGTTGTTCTGGGGGTACCTGAAAAGGAATTTGGATTAAAGGTGGTCTTAGTGACCTGAGAGCGTGACCGCAGTGCCCAAGGGACAACTGCTTGAGGTCGGTCACACACGACCTTGTTATGGGTAATTTTTGTGTTAGCTCCGTACTTATTGAGACCTTACCGCCGGAGACGGATATCCGTGGGATAAGGCGAGGTGTGCATTTTTAGGGTCGATCTTTTCTAACCCCACCCCTCCTTGTGGGAAGGCAGCATCGCTGTCATGCTGGTTGTCTGAAGGAAACGCCTTACTGCTGTCACACCTCTGTACAGTCAGCAGTACGACTTCGCCTTCGGACCTTGGGTTTGTTGCTTTTAGTCTTACCGCTCTTCAACCGACCTGCCTGACATGGTAGGACCTTGAGGAACGGTTGTTCCAGCCAGTATAGCTCGGTTGCTTCATCACGATAGGCAAGCCCGACCACCACGTCAAGGTAACAACAACGTCTGTCATTGAAAGGCGTACCTCAGAAGTACATAAACCTTGTGAAGGCTCTTTACTCGAACACTACTAGTCGAGTCAGGGCTTATGGCGAACTGTCATCTACTTTTGCAACCTCAAGTGGTGTGCGTCAAGGCTGTCCACTTTCTCCATTTCTGTTTAACTTCATCATAGACCTATTGATGGAAATAACACTCTCGTCGACTGAATTCTCGGGTATTGATCTCCTTCCAGGAGGTCCACTTATCGACTTAGAATACGCAGATGACATAGTCCTGTTTGGTGAAGACGCTGACAAAATGCAGAGTCTTCTGGCAGCACTAAGCAACAATGCCAGAATGTTTGGGATGCGCTTCTCTCCCTCTAAATGCAAGTTGTTGCTTCAGAACTGGTCTGGGTCAACACCTGAACTAAGGATAGGGAGTGAAGTAGTCGAACGCGTTGGCAACTTCACTTATCTTGGAAGTCTGATCAGCCCTAATGGGTTGGTGTCTGACGAAATCTCAGCACGGATTCGAAAAGCTCGTTTGGCTTTTGCCAACTTACGTCATCTTTGGCGAAGGCGAGATATCCGTCTGCTGGGATCACCGGGTAAGTAATAGTGAGGTTAGACGCAGGGTATTAGGGAATGATGGTAAATCAGTTGATGAGGTTATGAATCTTCATCGACTGAGATGGTTGGGCCACGTATTACGTATGCCTGAACACCGATTACCACGACGTGCAATGCTAACCGGGGTAGGGGATGGTTGGAAGAAAGTTAGGGGCAGCCAAACCAAAACGTGGCATCCGTGCCTGAAGTCACTAACTTCTAGTCTGAGCCATGTTGGTAGATGCAGACTACTTGGTTGGGGTCCGCGTGACTTTCGTAACCAATGGTTGGAGACTCTTGGTGACATGGCTCAGAATCGATCACAATGGCGTCGGTGTATACACTCCCTGTCTTCTTTTAAACTAAGAGACTAAAATCACTTCATTCTTTCTGTCTACGAACTAATTCTTTCTTCCTATACTATATCCTTATTGCAACCTTTGACCTAACCACTCCTATGAATCCGCTGTTCATCTTGCTGTGCTAATGAGGTATGGCAACCTGGACCGATGCACATATGTGCCTGGTCCTACGTTGTAGCTGACTGACTGACATAAATTATTCGATTTGTGTGAGGGCTAGGATACTGCCCGGGTGTCCAAACCGAAGCAGGTGGTTTTCTTAGGGAGCCACACCCGGAGCCTTTGACCTAAAGATCTAATCCACAAGGCAGTGGAGCAATGTTAGGAGATGCAGTCTCATGGTAGTCGGTGACCAACGATTGGTTCATACTCCATTTGTTGCTTCAGGGTACTAGAGCCCTGGTGCACCATTGGTTTAGAATCAGGGTTTTCCAACTCTTCTAGGTGAACTCTCCATGTCTACCGACCCGGTTAAAGCACCGGACATTCACTTTTCGTCGTCTCAATTTCGTAAACAACACCCCCGCCACGTGAAAGCTATGAGTAGGACTTCCCTAGTGGAGGCTATATACGCGTGGCCATGTGGGAGTATTTGGAGAGGAAGGGCTGACTCTCTCCACCCTCGGCCGTGCCAGGACATTTGGGGGCAATTGTGTTTCTAGGCTACATCACCAATACATATCTTAACACTTAAGGAATCAATAGTTCTGTACAAAAGGTTTTATTAGCGTCTTCGACTATTCTGATCTAGGGTTGGATTGAGAAACATTTTTTTAGTCATATGAATTATAAATGTCACCAAACATTTCTATCTAATTCAGAATTACCGTCCATTTCATTTAGTGATTAACTAAATTTTGAAAATAGTAAACGGCTTTCACAAATAATTAGGATGTGCAACTATAGTAATGAAATGTATATTTCATCTTTCAAACAACTTCGAGATAGTCAGATACTTTCACTTCATTTGTACGAATAAATTAGCATGGATAACAGTTATTCTTTTTGGGCCTACGTCCTATATTTTATACGACGTTTATGTCAAAGATGCGATTATGAAAATCATTAAAGTTCTGACTGCACTGGGGATTGATAATTTCAAAAGGTAGGACCATCTGGTATTGTGTGAGTGATAATACCACTATTCGTCTGAAATGAATATACTTGATTATTTCAAATACATTTTTGTCTTGATGAAAATATAAAGTTATAAGTTCAGATTTCTGTATAGTATAAAGTTGGATGATCTCCTAGAATTACGTACTGGATCTTGACTCACGTACTGCTTAGTTTCTTACTCGCTCGATCACCTGATTGTTCTTTGTTCAATAACTGACGGAGTTATGATCGACTGAAAGATCCGCAGCTAGAGAAACCAATGTTGAATACTCAACTTCCATAAACGATGTTTTGGTTTATTTCTATTTAAACAAAATTTAGCTACTATGGCAACTTGAATCGACTTAATGTTTTACATAGAAACCAGATAGGCAATAATCATTTATTTAACAATTTCATTTTAGTCCATCAAATACTTTCCTCGTATGAAATAATATTGCAGATTTTGCTAGAAGTTTAGGTTGATGACATTGTTCAACGGCTGTTACATGTCGGGATAATTTAGGTTTCTCATTCTCGTTCATACCATAGTACTTCACCATGACCAATATATCATTAGATATTAACCTGATTCTTGAGATTTATGCTTTATAGTCTTGAAAGTTAACTGGATTTTATCCATCAAGTTTACAAAGTCACCACTCAGTCAAGTAAGTCGATATGTCAGTATATTATCTTTTATCCTGGGTACTGATTTCAGTGAAATGTTACTGAACAAGAATAAATAATTGGCTAATTGAGATTGTAATAAGTATTTATAAACATAAGTAGAGACGTCACTTTAATATGCCATGAAGACTACTCTATTTTCCGTTTAATAATGTGTAGGATGATAAGTAATTTGACAATGGAAAAAACCAATCGTATAGTCTGATTTATGTTTTGTGGTAAATTAATTAACTGTTGATCTGGTGAAATAAATTTCTGCTTACTAATTAGCTGGACACTAGAAGGTATGAAGTTAGTCAAATAGACTGCACCTCAATTAATTATGTCTTTTGATTTTCTCTAAATCTGTCCCATGTATGTGATTAGTTCTTAGCGATCACAATATTTCAACATTTAAGACTTGGTTTGTAATCAGGTAGAGGTATGTCTTGTGCAGTGAAATATTAAACCTATATGTATTTGTACTAAGATCTATTGAGAATAACAACCTAATCTCAGAATTTATTCAGTATGACTCAATATTATGTGAATCATATATCTATTCAGTTAGTAATTAGTGGATCAGCTCCCTAACTAACGCAACTAAGGTTGAAGACGAGCACGTGGTACTCGGTGCTCATTATGAATACACTTCATTTGCATATGTAGGCCAAAAGAAGGGTTAATAGTGTCTTCTTTACATTTTGTGCAGCTTGGTTTTCATTTCTAACTGATCCCGTCTGGGAAAATGTTAAAAATCAAAAACTATTGAACAGCCATTTCGTTCTAGTTTGAGGTTTTCTCAGTAGTGCGTACTTACAACTCTACACTAGATTAAACCTTGGATATTAGTTTCACAGTTAGTGCGATACCTATCAGTCATTTGATAAGAGTCATATGGTTTATGTTTATAACCTCATCCAATTTGCAATACAACAGTATCCTTTTTCAGTTCCATTGATTGGTTAGTGACTTAGTTGATTATATAATGTGCAAAAGTTAACTATGAATATTAAAAACCAATAAAAAACTGATATCTTTGTGGAATTCCCAACGTTTCCTTTGCCTCATTCTTCGTTGTTGAATCCCGAGGTT